TGCAGCAGAGGCTGTTTACATCTCAGGAGGACTTTTCCCAGGGTGCAAGAGAAATGTGTGCTAGTATTGAAAGTACTTTAAATGCCTTTTAAAAGAAATGCGCCATTAAAAACAACCTCCCCTTCATCTAAGACACCTCCAGAACTTTCAGTAGTTTTAATCTGCTCTGCTTTGGTGGCTTACTGAGAAATATACTACTGCCAAGTATGGCCAGAGGTGGAGGTCCTCCTTTTCTTAATATAAATACACCGTTACAAAACGTTTGAAGATGGCTGCTGTGGCTGTCACAATAACAAATACGGTACCAATCATTTCTGTGCATTTCCCTCTTTTCCCCCCTTACAACCTAATGTCAGTTTCTCACCTTCTTGTAGAGAGAGAAATGAATTGCTACTTTCGACACCTCTGCAACAATAGCATAACTTCAAACTGGATTTCATAACCCACAACTTTAGAAAGTTTCCTCTGTCTGATTTTTCATCTAAGATTCTGTTGTTTATGAGAAAAAGGGCAGGCAGTGGAATAAAAGCTAACCACAGAAATAAATTTCAGAAGAAAGGTTTTTACCATAGTTGCCATGAATTCTAAACTTAAGAAGCGGTGGATGGAATTGCGATGTTCCCATTTACAGAAATATCCAGCGAGCATCACGGGGAATAGATTGCAACAACAAAAAGCTTTTTTCATCTGAGTATATTTTAACCACAGGAACTGAATCCAGCTCCAGGAAACAGAGATGTATACTGGTAACGGTAATTTAAGGTGCTAAAAAACCCACAAGAAATGCAGAGATTTTTGTACCAAGATCATTGCAAATGCTTCCCAATTTTAATATGAAGAACAGAAGAAAACCTTGCATTTCTGCCATTCTAAGACAACTTGTGCAGTTACTAGTCCAGTCCTGAGAAACCAAAGGTGCTTAGATTACTTTTTTTCTTTGCAGGGTAAACAGACAGCATTGCAAATGACAGCAATCAGGTGAGCTCTCCAACTTCAATGCATGAGAAAATGTAAGTGTATCTTGCTTTCATAAATCTGGGCCTAAAGGCCTTGGGTAAGAATCCAGCATCAGTCACACTAATAATGCTTTCATTATTTCCAGCCCAACAATAAAAGTTCCCATAAGCAGAATTTGTCAGTAAAACAAATAAATAAACCAACCCACCAACCCAGCAGGGAAATCTTTTGGTCCACCCCATACCTGGTGCTGAGTAGGCTTTCAGGCCAACCAAAACTAAGTTTCTGCGTTTTGTCTCAGAAGGTGTTCTTTGCTGTGGGTTTTAATTTTTCTTGGTTGTTTTTTTTTTTTTTTGGGGGGCGGGGGGACGGACGACGACGACGGGGTGTTTGGTTGGGGTTTTTTTGCCTTTTTGGATGTACTCCAGCAGGTTTGCAGTCAAAACCAGCAGTGCAGTTAAGATTTTGAACATTTTGAACATAATCTAACATTGAATCAAAACTAGAAATCAGATCATAGCAAAGATTTTTGTTTCGGACAAGCTTATTTTAAATTAACTAGAAATGACAGTGTGGTGCTAGCAAGTGTTGATTTATCTCCCTGAAAAAGAGAAAGAAAAACTCACCCTTGAATCCTACTCTTGTTCAAGGGCAGCAGAGACCAGAGACCTGCAGCTAACTGCAGACAGGCTACAACCTGGAGAACTTGACTGCATGCAATAAATCCTGAATACAAAAATAAGACTAATCTTAAATTCTTAAATTTCCTAGTAAATTGTCCTCCTTTTTGAGAATAAAGCTATCAACAGAAGTCTAAAAGTCTAAATCTATGCAGTAAGTCTAAACCTATACTTGACAAAAAAGACACAAACTTCTCTGTGGTATTAGTATGCGAAATCAGTCAACCATGTTATTGAAGGAAACATCCAAGCTTTAGACCAAGTGTGTTTTGCAGTCCACAGCTGGCATAACGTTCTTATTTCCAAAAAACTACATGAGTGAATTGGAAACTTAAGCTTTGGTGAAGGAAAACTTGCATGTCTACAAGACAAATAATGAAATCTATTTGTCATTCTCCCTTCTTTGAAACACTTATTTTATCAGATTTGAATAGCCCCCAGTAGTGAAACGATCTCATCTTTCAATAGAAAAGACAGTTACATATAAAAGCAGAAATGCCCAAGTTGATATGTAACTCTGTTTTGGATGATAACGACAACTCGCTGTCTCTGTATTGTGACTGTTATCTGATATTCTAATTTGTGCTGCTGTAGAGGATGTTTAGGAAACTGTGTCAACAGATGATAAAAAATTAGGAGAGGTAATTCCTAACCAGTTTTTTAGCGCCATTTTAAAATAGAAAAATCTTTACCTGCTCTTCAGAAACCTCGGTAGGTGGAGGTGTGTCTTGTTCAGACGGGCGATGATCTTGATAATTCGCATTATGTCTATGACGTAAAGGAGGAAACAGTCTATTCCAGTTAATCATCCCACCCTGAAACCAGACACTGTTGTTACTCTTTGTAAAAAGAACTACAGATATTTTTGAACAAAAAGATCATCCATCCTACATAATACAAAAGGCAAACATTTAAGCAAAATACTTGACTTTAAACAACAAATACTGCTGCTGTCTCTTATGAAGTCAAAACTGGGACTGCTTTACTATTTATTAGCAGTAATCACTGTAAATTAAGGAAGAGTGCGAACAGAAGGAGGAAAGGATGCTTCACATCCATTGTGAAAGATTTGGTTTACTACAGTGCTAAATTTCTGAGGCTGAAGGACCACCCTCTTTACTGATAGGGAATTGCCTGGCAAGACATAGCAACAGCAGGTTCTGCAAGTGCTTTGCAAGACTGCTGCTGGAGCTAGCCAGGGAAAAAGCGTGCAAGAAATTAAGTCGGGGGAAATGGCAAAAATGGATTCTTAGTGCATCAGGAAACTTGGAACAAGTCCAACCTTCAGGATACCTGTGATTTCCATGCAAGTGATTACTTCTGTGACACCAATGCGACTGTTACAGACGCACAGACCACCTCACCTAACCTCCGCATCTTAAATACCATTACAAAATCTGGCTGTATTCCAGTGCCAAAACATTTTGTAACTACATAGTACTGATACAAATACAGCAGTAATGTATGTATTGTGTAAATCACAGAACTGAAACTTTCTTTTAACAACCAAGCTTCAAGTCTTGTAATAATAAGTAGTTTAGAATGTAAAGTGCACATACGAAAGTACAAGCTTTTTATTTGTCCAGAAATAATTAATCCTCATTTATTAGATTAAACAAACATTTTTTAAGGGATTTTCTATAACACCAAAGCCACAGGCCCTGCAAGCGGGGAAGAAGAGCAAACCTCAAATCTCTCTTTTCTATACAATTTGTTAAAACGTCTTTTGCAGTTTGTGTTGCCCTTTTCCTCCTCCCCTGCTCCCTCCGTTACTATGGAGAAGATCCCCCTCCCTTTCTGTATATATAGGACATGGACTTCCTTCCTCTAGTTGCTCTATTTTAGTTCTATACTGTCGTTTCTCAGAAGACCTTCCTCTTATGAGAGTTTTTTCTTTTCTCTCTCAGTGAGGGCTTTTCCTGCCTTTATGTACCCGTCTCTCCTCAATCAGATCAGCAGCAACTAAACCTACACCTTAACCAAAAAAAAAACCAAACCCCAAAAAACCCAACAAAAAACCCCCCACCAAACCCAAAAAACCCATTTATATAATTTTCCTGGCCTTTCCTTTGTTTTCTTCCTTTCTCTCCAGAGACCCAACCAGCCCAGACACCACAGGGGGCAGTGCAATAGCACACTTAAAAAAGCATCTGGGCAGTCACGAGATTTGAAACGCTAGCTTGTGCAGTGTTCCAGTCCCTTATATACTAGAGCACATTTGTCCTGGTAAAGATGAGCAATAGCTAGGAGTCATCAGTGGTTTTCAAGACATAGTTTCCACCGTTAGTGATTTTGAATTTAAAGGATGATTACGTATCTACGTTTCTATTTTGCGTACTGCGTAAAACATTTGCTTAAAAGTCATGAGGTTTTAACCCAAGGATTCTGTATAAGCCTTACGTTATCCAAACAGTGTAGCGTAGTAAAAAGGAGAATTCGTTTGTAGTTTAAATCCAGAGAGGGATCTCAGATGTTCGACTGACACCACTGCACTACTCCGTGGTCTTGGAAAATCACGTCCCTTACTTCCCCTTCTATGATTTCCCCTAACTCAGAATTATGCTGAGTTTTAATTCACTACCTTTGAATTTCTGAAAGTCTACTAAACTCCATAGTTCAGCAAGAACACTGCACTAGTGCTGCTTTGCCTGTTTTTGTTCTTTTGAAAAGACCTGAGGAGGAGAAAATAATGCTTCCATGGGTCATTCACATTAAATAGGTGAACTGAAAAGTGACACCAGGACTATGACACATTCCTTTGAAGCATCAGAAGTCATACAGAATAATGTCTGTAAGATATAAGATCTACAATAAATGTATTAATTTAGCAGTATTCCAGTGTACCTGAAGACTGAAATAAACGTACCTTTCCAGCTGTGCCCTCAGCTTCAACACTGAGCTGCTTATTCCAGTTTGGTTTTGCATCCTCCCTGTCCTGTGTGCTGTCACCTAACACTACAAAAGAGACTTGTCTACTTCCTCGCCCTAAACTTACAATAGATTTTAAATTAACATACATAGAATTCATTACTTTCAATTAAAAAATGCAGACACCTTACAAAGGTAACTACTTAGTTTTTAAGGTTTACAGCAGATACCTTGATAAACTACCGGTGTGGACTGATGGATTCCAAAGAGTTCTGTGTGAAGACGGCTAACCCTTTCCCAGAAATAACAGACTAGACAAATGAGATCAAAATAGTTGTAAAAAGACCTTTTTCACTTGCCCTCAGAATATTTCAACTACCTCTGGAAATAGTGACAAACATAACCCATCAGTTCTTAACTATATTAACGATGTAAGAATATCCAACATACGACAACAATAAGTATTAAAGGCTGAAACTCTTAATGGTATGTGAACACTGATGTTTAGGATTAATCACAACATCATGGTCCACTTCTCATCTGTGTATTAATTTACAAGCTGCACCAAAACCAGGCACATTAGGCTTCTTCATCTTAACGGCAAGAGAATTGTTTCCCCTCACAGACTTGCCTCTAATGACGATGGACATGCACAAAGTCAGGCTCAAAAGAGCAGAGATTCAGGGAGCTGCAGCAAGAACTCTGGGACTAGCACTGTGGCCAATCCCATAGAGTAAAGGTAAGGAAAAATTAGGAAGTGCAGCTAATGTCTTAGAGCCACAGAAGATGGAGATCAAGGCTATGGATTTCCAGCATGGATGGTGACCATGTAAAGACTTTCAGGCAACCTTAACTATCACAGCAGAAATACATGAAGATCTGTGAATTTTAATTTTGACCCAAAGCAAACAGCAAAAAATGTCTTAAACTAAGTAAATATTGCAAATTCCAGTTAAAAAATGCACAGAAGGGGATTTCCAGACCAATACTCTGCCTTGCCTCACAAAAATTATTTTGCAGACCTTCCCTTCATAATATTGTGATGATTTCTGTATTACAGTGGTTTTTGACTGTGCTAACACACTTACTCTGCAAGAAGTCTGGAAGATTTCACCTGAAGATATCCAATCTGATGAATTTATTTAAGTGATGCTTCCAAACCATCTCAGAGTCCCTACTGGGGAATCAGCAAACAGTATTTACACATTTCACAATATACTTGAACCCTGGCACAAGCACCCAACGGCACAGATGAGCTCACATCCACCTCCTTACCCTTCACAGGAGCCTTGTCTGAGATAACAGAGCTCTCTGGAGGTCCAAAACAGAGGCAGAAAAGGAGCTAATAATTAAGCAGTGAGGATGATCAAGGGCCCAGTATGTAAGCTCCTTTCCTGAGCAGCACCTTCGGTGACAAGTGTCTGCCAGTCTAATCCATTTAATAAAATCCAGGCAGTTGTTCTGTGATTCTGCTTTGTTGGTTTGTTATAAAACCCCCTAAGTTTAATACTAAATGGTTTGGGGGCTGGGACTCAGCATGACTCAGGACTAGGTAAGGAGGACGCACTAAACCTCTTACATCGAGAGCCAGTTTCCACAACTGACAGACTCCGGCTATCTTCCACTGAGATTATCTCAGGTGACATTTTTCTTTGTCCTGAATCTTAGGTGTCGGGGAGCAGCAAGTGTAGGTGCTGCTCCAAGAGCAAAGGGCAAGCTGAGAGCCAAGGGTGACACCAAGGCAAGCAGAGGCAGTGGCGTCACTGAAATGTACTGTGTTCCCACAGGATCCAAGTGAGAAGAGGAAAGCAGGTCCAGTGACAGTAAACACGGTCAGCCAAAAGTCCAGATCACCAGGCAGGTTTAAGCTCAAGCCTAGAAGTCAAGTCAGTGGGTCAGGAGCAGGGAGGGAGATACATCAGTTGGCACATGAATATCCACAAAGCTCGGCAAGGACCAAGGGCAAGGACCTGAACTTAAAAGCAACTCCCAGTCAAAGTTGGTGAGGCCCCAGCAAGGCTTCTCACAGGTATTTCTAACCACAGCTCTTTCTCACACAAGTCTGCTCCAAGGCTGTACTGTACCGGAGCTGGACCTCAGCACAGAGGGCCTTTTGGCGCACTCAGGGATATGACATAAACCAACCCCTTCCCCCATTCAGTGCTCTGGGCGGTAGCCACTTGTCATATTATCTATGCAAAGGTAAGATTTCTTGTTCATGTCTGCTTCCTTAGTCCAATTTTTGCATGTCCAATTGTGTGAATGCTGCAAGATTTACTCTAGCGAAAGGACATTTTTTTTTTCATATTTAATTCCTCCATTGCTTTGTTTGTACTGCAGGATGAGAGGCTCGAGGAGGACTTCTCTGCTTATGGCCTGAAAACAGCACCAAGCTCACTGTAGTCAAGAGGCTGAAGGTTCCCATCAACTTGCATGCACTGGTCCCAGTCCCTGCAGTGGGATGCTATGAAGAACTTCTAGTCTCCATTGCCAGCTGTCATACTTGTTTTCATGGCGTTAAACAGAAACTCTGTTTTGGAAGTCCTGACTGCTGTGCTACTAGAGAGAGAGACAAGCACAGAAAAATTCAGTCTACAGACTATCATTTATAAAAATACTTTGTACAAATTGGTGATTGGGCCCTTATTTCTGTCTGCAACAGTCTTCCACATGTCATCAGGGAAAACACTTGACACAAAAGACTGCTTCATCGATTATTTGACTAGAAGGATGACGGAAACACGTAAGAAAGGCCTGTAAGCCTTTCCCCCTCCCTTACTCCTAGGTTGTAATTTTTTAATTAAAGAAAAATTCAGTTTCCTTTGGTTTACCAGGGCAAAGACTGGGTGAATCAGTTAATTGTAAATTCTTTGTTACTGTCTGATAGGAGACAAACATACCAAGGAGACCATTTTATTGGTCTCTGATAAATCACTACTAGAAGTGG